TGATTCACTGATTCCTTTCATTTGATACCAACTTCATCAATTTTCCTTGAGAAACTGCATTTATGATCTTATTGATTGATGATAAATTCTCCCACCTCGTGCTCACCTATACAGGTCCCATTTTTCCCCACCTGGGACCTGCCTTAACTCATGGATTTTCTCTATAAATATCTCTAGATCACTTATGAGCATTTTGATTAAGATCAAGTGTATAAATAGCTCTAGAAACGACAGGTTTGTGGCAACCCACTGGGGTCCCTTTCTGCTTCTCTCTTGGAAAAAAAGCTCTAATTCCTGAATAAATATATTCTGCTCTTAAGCTCTGTTGTTCCTATATTCGATTCTTCAGTTGTTGAGATCACAAACACGCCCAGATATTTTTCAGGCTGGGAGGTTCTTTCACCTGTACCAAGAGCTGGAAAGCACCAGCAAGTGTCACCTTATACAAGCAGCTGGAAGCATGCTGCGTCTATCCCCTCAGTGCATCTGCCCCTAACCTCAGGTGTGTGCACACTCCTGGCATGAGCCCTCTACCCAGACACCAAGGAGACTGCGGGAACACTGAGGACATCCAGTCCCGTGGAAACCTGGAAAGGGCCATCCTCCATGTGTGAGGGACACAGCCGGGACCAAGATGGTCACCATGATCAGTCTTCCTGCGGAATACACAGATTCGGTGGCCAGAAGGAGCACCAAGTTACGCCCAGGCTCAGGGCACATACTTATTTATATCAGCAGGAGCGTGTGGGATGCATTCCCTAGTTATCAGCTTCCGATCTCCACTGGCTCAAGGCTGTGCTGGGAGGAGCCAGAGGAATTACCCAGGGAGGATGGTTGGTCCACTAGGGATTGCATCATTCATCACAATAAAGTGACCACCCACACGACATTGATCAGATAGTTCTGAAAAAGAGAAAGCTACCAGGAGCTGTAACCTGCCTGTGAACTGGGTCGTGCAGTGACTGTGCAGTGACCGCCCGCACACGGCACATACCAGATATTCCTACACAAGGAGACGACCAGGAGCTGTCACCCAGCCTATCACTCCAGTGCAGACAGCTCGGTGCTGCAGACTGTGAGCAGGCACGAGTGACGCTGGATGATCCTCCAACTTCTGGTGATCCTCCTGACTCATCCTTGAAGTGCTGTGATTACAAACACACGTCACCAAACATTTCTAGTGGGTACATTTGTTGTAATCGGATTTGGACCTAGGACATTTGTATTATAATATTTTTCTGTATATTTTATTGATTTATTCACTTATTTATCTTTGTGAGTCTGGGTTTCACTGTGTACTTCAGGTTGGCCTTCAACATGCTTCATTGCCAAATCAGGCCTGGAATTCACAGGATCCTCTTGCCTAGCACTGTGGATGGCTTGGCACATGTGTGAGTCAACACGTATAGTTTTTTTTAAATTTTATTTTATTCATGTGTGTGTGTGTGTGTGTGTGTGTGTGTGGCTAGTTCAGCCCACCAGGGGGCGGGGCTGACTGGCATGTGGTGCTGGGGGATTGAACCGTGGTCCCTGTGCTTTGCTAAGCTTGTTCTAAGTAGGTGCTTTAGACAACTGAGCCATCTCACCAGCCCAACATGTCTAGTCTTGTGTTATGTTTAATGTTCAAACTAGAGCTCACTCGTGTGATACACGGTCCACCTAGACTCATCCTTGTGCTTGTCCTGCCTCAGCATCCCAGAGACCTGTGATTACAGTTGTGACTTCACAATATTCTAATTCATCACTTTGCTTTAGAAGCCTCTAGGTTTCCTGACATCAAAAGTTTGCTTATATATTTGTTTCCTTCTTCCATTCTGTCTATTTCACTTTCTGTTTTGTTTCACATGAGGTTTCTTACTAAAAGTCCCTGTTGAGGGGCCTGGGGAGATAGCTCAGTAGCATAAGCCCTTCCCTGGCAAGCACAGGGTCCTGAGTTCAATCCCTGGTACCTCAGGAAAAAAAAATCCCTGTTGGTAAAACTAGATGTAAATTTCATGACACATCACAATGCTTTATTTATTATCCATTATTTATTGCTCAATTAGTATTCAAGTACCCTAGAGTGGGCTGGAACTCTTTTTTTGAGATAAGGTCTCACTGTTTAGCTTAGGCTAGCTGTGAACTACTTTTGTCATCAAGGCTGACCTTGAACTTGAAGTTATCCTGCCACCTAACCTTCCAGAGTACAACAATTAAAGGTTTGCATATTTCGCTACTGTTTCTTTTTCTTGTGGTAATGGTGATCAAACCTAGAAATTCTTACCTGCTAGGTGAGAAACTCACATCTCAGCTACACAACCTGCTAATGCACTCTGCTTTTAACATAGCTTGCACAATATCAAACATACATTAATCTCAGTATTCCTGATAAAGATTTAATATTCCCATTATACACATAGTGGTATTATGTGTATTATACACATAGTGCTGAGAAAGCAACAACACATAGATTATAATTTGAGGTCCATCTACATAGATAACAACTACAAAGGCAGGGTGTGGCCAGAAATACCAGCTACCCAAGTACTCAGCAATCTGAGGCAGTAAAATAAAGTTAAGATAGAATTCTCACAGTTCTCATGGAAAACACTCAACTCTAATCCTAACCTTCAGCCTAACCACAGCCCTATCCCTAACCCTAAACCCTAACCCTAACTATAACCCTAAAACCTAACCCTAAACCCTAACCCTGAACACTAACCATAACCTGTAACCCTAAGCATAATCCCCCAACCCTAACCCTAAATACCCTAACCCTACACCCTAATGATAAGCCTAAACACTAACACCTAATCCTAAATTTAACCCCAAACCCTAATCCCCAACCCTACCCCTAAAACCCTAAACCTAAAACCTAACCCTAACCCCTAACCCTAACCCTAACCCTCTAACCCTGACCCCTAGCCCTAAGCTTAACCCTAACCCAACTCTGATGTTCCTACTCTCAGATTTCCTGTTTCCATTCTAGCCTGGCAGTTTGGTTCAGATATCCCTTTCTATCTCAGTATGGAAGGTGTCACATAAAGTTTAAGAAAAGGACCACCCATCTGCCCACTACATCTCAACTGTGTCCACTGTACCCTGCCTGACCCTGTAAAGGAAGTGAGGGCCAAAACACAATTTGTGTCCACACCTACTTCCTAGGAAAGAGCCAGAGAACAAGAGGCAGGGGTTTCTGTCAGGATGTTGGGGTGGGGGCTCTTGCCCATGGGCAGAACAGATATATGAGGAGCAGCCTCCTTTTCTATCAGACAGGTCCTCTTTCTACTGCACAGTGGCCTTCTCAGGGGTCCAGTCTAGCCAAGGTTTTCACACATTTGCCTGGAATGGACATTATGTAACAGGTGAGTCAGGCTCCACCATACCTAGAACTAGGCCTCTGCCTTCCAGGATAGGGGAGGAAGTTTCTGTCCCTGACTGTGACAGGTCTCTCACAGATTTCTCCCTGTTGGGCACCAAGGCCTTTATGTACACAGAAAGTGTGAAGACTGAGGCCAGGATGGCCCAAGGCAAGGCAGCCACCAAGCCAGCTGGCAAGGGTTGTGGGGACAGGGAACCCCTGAAGCAAGCAGGTATCTGTACTGCTCCCCATATAAGCAACCTTTACACGAGGTCCATTTCCACCTCCAGGCCCAAGGATTGTGCAGGATGCTCTGGCCATAGGCTAACAGTGTCATGGACACAGGATACTGAGGTACCTGCTCCTTTCTTTGCTGTGCCACCCTTACATGAAAACACCCTCTGATCTGCCTTGCTCCCTCATCCACCCCCAGCTGTAGCTCTTTCTCATCCCTCGATCCTAGGCACAAGTCTTAGTGCCTCTGTCTCACAGACCATCTCACGAGTATCTGACAGGAGGGCTAGGATCTATCATCTGGCCTGGTGAGGCCTCTGTGCAGCCTGGCTCCGTTGTGTCCTCTGCAACCAACTCCTGAGCGGGTGAGCAGAAGGCTAGACACAGGACACCCTAGAATCCACATTCCACCCTTGCTTCCCTGTGGTTTTGAGCACTGGACCTAGGGTCTTTGCACAGTGACATCCCCACTCCATCCTACCCCAACATATTTGGGAATGGGTCTCATTCAGTTATTAACCTGGTACTTGCAATCCAGACTCAGCCTCCCAGGGCACTAAGATGACAGGTATGTTATACCACACCCTACTCCCAGTGCATCTTTTGGCACAATAACTCAAAAAGGTAAGGGGCAGAGGGCAGAGGGTAGAGATGCTCAGCCAAAGGTAGCTTTTAAAACAGACATCAGACTCAACAGCTGTCCACTGGAAGGCTCCTGAGACCTCAGCTAACATACACCCCCACCATGAAATGTTGCCCACACCTGAAAGGGTGACTGGCTTCCTACACTTTGAAGTACATGGTCCTTTAGGTGTATCGCTAAGTGAGAAAGGAAACAAGAGTCCAAACGTTAAACTTTAATACAGCTGAACAAAACATCTGTCCCACAGATATAATGAATTAGGGACATCTACCCTGCTCTCCCCCACACAGGCCTCTCAGCACTTGATGCCTGAAAACAGAGATGGAAGAATGTGAGCCCTGGGGGCTGGTGAGATGGCTCAGTGGTCTAAAGCACCTACTTAGAACAAGTTTAGCAAAGCACAGGGACCGCGGTTCAATCCCCCAGCACCACATACCAGCCAGCCCCGCCCCCTGGTGGGCTGAGCTGGCCACACACACATAGATAAATTAAAAAAAAAAAAAAAAAGAATGTGAGCCAGGTCTCCCTCACAGCTAACAGAGGATGTAGCTGGTGGGGCCTGGTGCGCAGGCAGTTATGGCACCAGCTGTGAATACACTGTCTGGAGCCTTCACTGCCTCACGGCACGCCTTGAGCTTAACTCTGATCTGCTACTGAAAGGAGGAGGGGAGGGAACAGACTTCCAATCCTGTCAGAGCCATAAACCGAACTCTTACACATGGCAGTGGAGCCCTCACTGTTTCTCAGCAGAAGGCTTTTGGGAACTCTAGGAAGCTCTTACTGTTATTTGTGATGAAACTCTAACTCTCTGGATTGAATGACTGGACAGTCTACACTCAGGGTTCTTGGGATGGGGACCTGGCAACCCAGGCTGCCCCCTGAAAACTCCAGGAGCATCTGGGCACCCCAGGAGGCATCACACGAGGCTTGGCTGTCATCAGGCCACTGCACCTGGAAAATCAAGAGTCACACCTAGAGGCAGCTCTGAAGGTAGGGAGACCCAGCCTCCTGCCTGCTCTTCCTAACCCCAGGTGGACCCTCACCCTGGCCTTGGGAGAACAGCATCCCATGCAACTCCATGCCAGCTCCTGAGTCTCTAACATCCAGCAAGGAGTCTCCTCTACCACTGTTCATTGCCTGGTTTGTTCACATGAACTGCATGGGGGCTGAACCCTCCCCAGCATGAGTGAGCAATGGGAAAGTAAGACACACATAGCCAGGTATGGTGATGCATAGCAGAATTCTATTTGAAAATTTAAAAAGTAAAATAAAGAGGCTAGAGATATAGCTCAGTGTGAGCCCCCTGGGTTTAAACTGCAGTACAGAAGAAAGAAGAGGAAAGAAGAAAGGAAGAGGGGAGGGGAAAGTGACACTGCCACTGCCAGCACCGCAGTTGCTGCCGCCACCACTGCAGCAGCAGCAACAGCAGCAGCACGGCACCAGTAGGAGCCTCACCTGGTGGGAGGACAAAGACTGGCTCAACTCCTCTGTGGACACAGCGTCTGGGTAGGCAGGCAGGGCAAACACCAGCTCTGGGGGGCTGGAAAAGAGGCAGTGAGTGTCTAGGCTCTGGCTTGAGGGGCACTAAGGAACAAGATCCCCAGTCACACAGCTACACATCAGGAAGTGGTCTAAGTGCTGGGAACCCATCAGGATCCCCCCCAAGTGGGTGAGTTAGGAGGGGATGTGTTCCACAGCAAGCAAGGTCCCTAGGGTCACAAAGAGTTAGGGAAGAGATGGCATTTGAGCAAGCTCTGAGATGCAGCCCAGGAGCACAGATGTGAAAAGACGGTATGAGGGAGACTAGGGAGAGCAGGAGGGACAGGGGAACTGGAGACAGGCACAGTCAACTAAGGCCTCATCAACACAACTTACTGTGTGACTCAGCACATCCCAGGGGAAACAGACAAACGTGTGTAGACCACACACACGCAGGAGCTCTCAGCAGTCTTCTCCATAATCTCACACCATCTACACCAAATGCCACCACAGGACTGAGGACAGGCAAACTCACCCACACCATAAGCTGGGGCTCAACAATAAAAGCGATGAACTGCTGATTCACCCAACAACATAAGTGAATTTCTTTTTTTTTTTTTTAATTTTTATTTTATTTTATTTTATTTGTGTGTGTGTGTGTGTGTGTGTGTGTGTGTGTGTGTGTGTGGCCAGCTCAGCCCACCAGGGGGCGGGGCTGGCTGGCATGTGGTGCTGGGGGATTGAACCATGGTCCCTGTGCTTTGCTAAGCTTGTTCTAAGTAGGTGCTTTAGACCACTGAGCCATCTCACCAGCCCCAACATAAGTGACTTTCAAAGTAGGTGGGGAGAAATAAGCCAAAGCAAAACACATAACAGCCCTGAGCACAGTTTCATCACAACTAGAACATACACTGATACTGTCATACACAGCAGCAGAGCCCTGATCCTGGTAGGTGAAGGTGGGAAGAAAAGGGCACACCACCTTCACAAGGCTGAGACATCATAGTAGGGCACAGTCACGCTGAGTACTTTGTCAATAAACATGCAGAGGTCACTGGGTGCCAATCATACCCAACAAAGCTGTGTAAGGGACTCAGAGTTCCCAGGTGAGGCAAGGCCAGGCAGGACAGTGGAGTGGGTGAGAGGAAATAGCTATGTGCAGTAGCCAACAAGCCACCAGGGGACACAGAACCATTAGGACCATCCAAGTCTTGCCCTCCACAGCTCCTAGCTATGGGAGAGGAGAGCCAGTACCCTCATGTGATGCAGCCTTCTCCCAATCCAACTGGGGCACACCCTGGCACCCAATGTGGGGCTTTGTCCCCTGCCTCATAGACGTACCTCACATAGCATACCTACCCCAACTGACCTGCCTTCAGATCCCACATTACAAAGACCTTATCCTTGAGCTTGGTTCCAGGGAACCCTAATGTGGACAAGATAGGTACCCACTACAACAGGGAGGGCATGGGGATCCCCTTTCCACAAGAAATGCCAGACCACCTATCATCCTGTCCTGCTATCTCTGCAGGATCCTGACCCACTTCCCCAGCATGCGATCCTTGGCCTCCTCTGCTCAGAGGTCCCAAACCACCCATGACATTGTTTATCCTGTCTCTGGAGCTCCCCAGAGACACTGGTCATCTCCTCTGCATCTCTGAGAGTCCACAGTTTTGTCATCATAGGTAAATGTTCCCCTAGGCTGCTGCAGACACTCCCAAGCTCCTCTCACAGCTACAAATTGGAATACAATATCAGGATCCTGATGCTGCTCAGAAACTCCCTGCCTCTGTCTGCAGAAAAATCACCAGGAAGAGGCTGCTTGGGCCCAGGATCTCAGGCTAGGCTCAGAGCCCCATGCAAGAAAGGACAGGGAGTCTCAGTCCCAGGGAAACACTGCTCCAGTACCAGAAGGTGCAGGCCAAAAGGACTGATATCATTTTCACGAACCCACCAGGGAGAGATCTGACTGCAGTCTGAGGATTTATTGCAGTGAGTCCTGCCCCACCTACTGGCCCAAGGAAGGTGTCATGCAAGCCTCTGTACCTCAGGCTTACCTGCGGGGGACAACGAACTCTGGAGCATGCAGCCAGGGCTGTGTCACCAGGGCGCTTCCAGTCTCTATTTGCCCACCACCCGGAAACAGATCCTCCTCCAGGTACATTCTCTGGGGACCATTATGCACATCATTTAATCCTGCAGATAAAGATGTCGCACAGCCCACTGGTGAAGGAAGGAACCATGGTGGCACCCCTCAGCCTCAAGGAAGCAGGCAATCTTCCTAGCCTTAATCTTCAGGCTTATTAGCTCCCAGAGACCACTGAGATTCAGTTCTGCTAAACTCAAGATGCACTGTGCCACCGTGGCCTTGCTATCCAGAGGCTGAATCAGGATCTTCTGCTTGCAGGCTACCATCTGCTAGCAGCCAGGCTGTGCCATTCTGTTTTTGTTTTTTTGTTTTTTCTAGCAGAACTGGCAATTGAACTCAGACCCTTGCGCTTGCCAGGGAAGTACTTATCCTACTGAGCCATCTCTCCAGGCCCTAGGCTGTGCCATTCTGCTGCAGTATACTCTCGATGCTGGGGTGGGGGACACTCAGCTACGAGCCTGCTGCAGTGTCTATTTTTACCTCTTACCACAGAGGTCACCAAGATTCCCTAAGGAGTCAACGTTTGCTGTGACACCCAGCCTTTGTCTTTCTCTCTCCTAAAATATATCTGAAAATGTCTCAGAAGATCTTTCACTCTTAAAGATAAGCTACTTGGCGCACATCTGTAATGCCAGTTACTGGGAGAGGCTGAGGCAGGAAGGTCACAAGTCGAAGCCCGAGCTGGATAGCTTAGCAAGGCCTTACCTCAAACAAGTGGAAAGGGCTGGAGAGTACCTCAGTGCAAAGGACCCATGTTCAAGCCCCAGTACTGTAGCACAAAACCAGCTAAGCTGCGTGGATTTGGTCAGCTCTGATACACATGCAAGAGAGGTGGATTCTGCTTGGCCCTCCGTCTGTGGAGTGGCATGGCCTCGGACACAGCAGCACAGGCCTTGGGTGAAATGAACGCTGGCCTCTCTGCTGACCGCCTGGATGAAGCTGCCTCTGCAGCTACCGCTACTCCTTCATGCGAAACCGGAGGGACATGTGACAGAGGAAGTAATACCCCAGTGCCACCATGGACAGCCCAAAGCACACAGAACACAGTAGTGGATCACATCTTCTACCTCCAAGAGGAAGAGAAGGGAAAAGCCACACCCCCAACATCCACAGTTCCAGAGTGAAGAAGCGAGGGCAGGCCCAGGGCCACAGGGCATCTGACAAGGAGTACTGTGAAGACAGCCCAGAGGCTAAATGAGACCCTGTTCTTTAAACCACAATTTAACAGTGAGACAGACTTAAAAGACCCTTACCTAGGACTATCAGGGTAAAATTCCCGAGCACCAAGATAAGGTTAATGGGAAAGGAATGAACACCTGTAGCAATGCTGAATGCGGACAAATTTCAGAAGGAAAAGCATGTGCGTTGCCAAAATGCTAATCAAACGTGAGGGCAGATTAAAGGCATTTTTGGAACATGCCAAGGACTCAAAAGTATTTCTCGTCTTATACCATTAATTGAAAATATGCTCTAGGAAAACAAGGAAGAAAGAACAAGACTGACATCTAGGAAGCACAGGCCCAGTGAAGGACTGCAAGGTGATGAACGTAGATGAGGTAAGAAAAATAAAGGCATTTCAATCCCCGGTTCCACAAAAAAAAAAAAAAAAAAGAAAGAAAGAAAGAAAAATAAAGGCAAGGAAGACCCCGGGAAAAAAAAGCTATAGAGAAAAGACGCATATACACGAGGGGACCAGAAAATGTAGGTGAAGCCACTGTGCCTTGTACGAGACCCTACAGTGTCAGGCAAATGTGCATCTAACATGCTTGAAAAGCACCAACAACCACAACTGTAACAATGACTAAGAAAAACAAGACTTTTCCACCCTGGGCCAAGGGCCAGAACTTGGACCTCCTTGTGGGACAGGTGCTCCCAGAGAGGGGTGAAGGCAGAGGGGCACAAGAGCCAGTTGTTTCCTCACATCCTAATTCTTTCCTGCTGTCTTTTTTTTTTTTTTTTTTTTTTTTTGCGGAACCGGGGATTGAACTCAGGCCCTTGCACTTGCCAGGGAAGCGCTTATTCCACTGAGCCATCTCCCCAGCCCCCTTGCTGTCTTTTCAGGCTCATATCTTTTCCAGCTTTTGGCAAAGTAAAGTATGTGAGAATAATCCAGGATGTTTATAGGAAGTCTCTATCCCAAGTCTTACCAAACACAAATTTAGGTAGAACCTCCAGCTCACTCCAACTTACACCCTCACATGAGACCAGAGGACCATGGCGTCTGATACTGTTTCCTATCTATGCACCAGACCTACCTGCAGGGTGCTGGTCACTGAAGGTGGCTGTATACATAGCTACAGTGGCATCTGCAGGCTGCATCCTGGAGTCCAGACCATAACTATGGACCAGTGGCCTGGTCTGAAAGCACACTTCCTTAGAGGATTCCGGTGAAAGGGACATCAGCCATGACTCAGGGGCTGCAAGCGCACGGTCCAGCACATTGTTACCAGTGGCCAGAGGGCAGAGGCCATCACCCGGGCAGACAGGAGCAAGGGCAGCAGGATCATGGCCAGTCCCCTCTTGACACATCTCACTTCCTTGCAGAGACCTGGGAGACACAGTGGAGCACTCCTCTGAGCAAACAGAGGCTTTCCTGGGCCAGCAGAGAGGACTGCAGGACCCAGCTAACCACCACAGAAGGAAGCAGCACCCAGCATGCCTATAACACCGCCTGTACCTGCTGAGCCCTATAACTGAGGTACATCAGGCCCGGACTTACAGACAACTCGGACTTAAGACCATTACTCTATCCCTAGAATATACCACCTGGCGACCAACAGTGACCTTGCAGAAAGTGTTGAAGACTGAATGACAATAGGTAATGTTAGGGAAAAGGAGACAAGCTGACAATGACTTTAGGACTACATGTTCCACACATGCTCTGTGAATCAGATGTGCTCACAGGCTTCCCTTGACCCTGGCTACACCACTGCACTATGTTGCCACCATGTCCCTTTCACAAGTGAAAGGTCAGTGGAACCTGCCTGTGGTCACACAGCTGGATGGCATCCAGAACCAGGTGGTACCACGAGCCCCCGATATCAGAACAGTGCATGGAAAAGGAAGAAGAGACACAAAGGGAATGGTGGCCAGATGGGCCCCCCGAGGCTGACAGTGCTGGGCCACCCTCACATGGGCCTCCGGATAGGTGAGTGAAGGTGCAGGGAGTGCTCAGATGGTGCTGACGTGCAGTAGGGACTTTATGGTGCTGGCTACTGCTAACACCAGGTAACATCGCACTGAGGAGACTCCAGTCACAGAGTGGCTCAGGTTTCTAGGTGGTCTCTAGGTGGCAGCCTGTTCTGCATGGGTCTTCCTCCCATCCCTGCTCATTCTCCTGAACAAAGAAAATCAGTGTGCAAGATTTCCTACACGCTAGGCTCCTTGCTGGGGATTGTGCCAATGCTAGGGCCTCCTATGTCACTGACCTGGTCACATAGTCAGCCAGGCACACCAGGCCCATTGAACACCCAAGTCTTCACCCAAGGAAGGATGGAAGGAATTGAACACGTGAGACATGGCCTAAGAGCCACAGTACCTGGCCACCAGTGGCTTTGAGGTCATGCTGGCCTCAGGAAACTCCAGGCCTGTGGTCCTTGCCTCCCATGGTCCTGTGATGTTCTTTGGGGATTGTGGAAGCCCATTTTCCTCACAGCCTGCCGGAAAGCAGATTAAAGGGGAGAAAGCTTAGTAAGGGTTCAAGTCTTTGGCTCCTGCCTGAGAGCAGCTCCCTGGCTGAGCAGAGGGGACACTGGTTATCCCTTTATTTTTTTCTGTTACCCTCTGTCCGACATCAATTTGAACCAGCAGTTCATGATTATGATCCTGGAGTCTGGTTCACTCCCAAACCCACTCACTGTTGACAACCCGAACATGTGACACCCCTCTGTGTGGCTTGTAACCTGGCATGCAGGGGCAGCCCTAGCCCCATAGAGGATCCTGAGCCAAGTCAATCACCCCAGAAATCAGCCCCCACCACAGAGGGCTGGGCCCTTGCCACTCACCAGACCTTGGGGGCCTGCTCACAAACCCAGATCCAGTGCACCAGCGGCTTGAGGATGGCAGAGGCCCAAGACCTCTCTCCTTTGCACTGGGGGTCTCAGGCACTGCCTGCCAGGCTTGCTGTCCTTGCTGGAGAAGGAACCTCTGACGCCGTCGGTGGTTGGCAAACCAGTTGTACACTTGCCCAGTGGTCAAGCCAGTTTCCAAAGCCAGTTTCTCCTGCCCCCAGAAAGACTTCCAGCTGTGAGTCACAGCTGAAGTCCACCATGAAAGGGGGAAGCCAGCCCAGTCCAGACCCTCAGGAGAACAGTGAGAACACTAGCACACTAGGAAAAGGACTGTCTCCCACACAGGCTGGGGAGGCTGGAAGAGACAGCATGCAGTCTCCAGGGACAGAACATACCACCCTGCCTAAGAGCTCACTCCAGCCCAGAACACCCAGGATCCTGAACCAAAAAGGCCAGGCTGTAAACACCCGAGCCCCCGGAGGTACAGAGGCTGTGGCTGCCCTGACCCAGTCCCTTCCCTTGCCTGAGTGACCTCAGGTGCTAGACCCCAGCTGAGGCACTGGAGTCCAGCCAAGGTGGGAAGAAGGACGATCCAAGGAGTAAGAGAACATCTGTGTGCTCAAGGGAAAGATGGAGCGGGGTGAGGTGCCTGAAGGGAAGGGAGAGTCAGGAGAGGGAAGGAAAAGCCAGGGTGGCTGCCTGGGGTAGGACAGCCTCCCAGGCAGGCTTTGGCCCTTCTCACCCGCTCGGCCTTGCTGGGGTTGCTGTTCACGTTTGAGACAAAGTGCCACAGCTGCTGGCGAACCTCCCTGGGGAAGTGCCGGCTCTTAGGGCCATCAGGACTGAGGGCAGTAGGTGGTGGATTCCTGAAGGACACAGGGCAGAGGTTTCAGAACAGGACCCCCAAGTGATTCTTGCTCAGGGCCTGGCCCCTCAGGAAGGAGAGACACCCTCTCTGCCAAGGTTTCTCCTGTGGATATCCTTCCCTATCTCCTGCTTTCCAGACACTCAGCCTTTCCAGAATAGCATCCAGTGTGGTGCTCACTAGGCAGCAGAGAGTGCAGCAGACAACCCTTCTTGGGGCCCTGCTGGTGTCTAGTATCTCCTCCAGGACCCCCCGCCCCCCAACCCTAAATGACACCCATGGCCAATGCCCAGCCATTTCTCAGCTCCGCCCCCCCCCCTTCAGCCCCAGTGGCCCTGCCCTAAACTGGGAAGCCACCCTGAAGCCTCTCCCCTCCACACTCTCCTGGGGTTTCAGTCCCAATCACCTGCCAACCCAACAGAGACAGGGGTTGAGCGGCTGATGCAGGCGGGAGAATGTTCAGGTTGGTCACATGATTTTCTTTGATTTTTTTTTTCATCTCTGATCTTTTCATAAAATGTGACATATATGACATTCACCTGTCTGTGAAGACTCAATGCCCACCTGCCTCAAGTACCACTTTTCAATTCCCAAATGGAGCCCATACTCTCTCAACCCCCCTCCAACCCGTGCATGCTGGGAAGAAAGCACCCCACTCCTGGTGGTTCCCAAGCATGGGCACCTATATCACTCAGGGAGTCCTATGTCACCCTGAATCAGGTCCCCACAACCCTTCCACCCACAAATCATGACTAAGTCCTGGCCCACTTCCCACAAGCACCTCCACCTTGGGTCCCAGAGGTGGCCGTGAGAGTATGGAGGAGCTTCTGGCCATGCTCAACATTCTGCTGCCCTGCTGGCAAGCAAACCCCACCGCCCTGTTTCTGGGGCCACAGGACCATGTCTACATGTGTTGGGGCTTGTGTATACCCCATCCTTCCCCCAGAGTCTTCTGTCTGCTCCAGGACACCAGGTGCCTTTCCCCCTACAACTCTGTCATTTCTCTGCTGGATGCCTGCTTGTAGACTCTCCTCCAGGCTAGGACAGGCCCACAATGACCATCAGATCTGAAGTAGCCCCCTCACTATGGCAAAGTGCCATCCCTCTTCTGGACTCAGGGCCCTACAGGATGGCACCCATGGTCTTTATGGTCTGCTGTCCACTGCCCCTCCAGAAAAGAAGGGTGTAATTTCTGCCCCAGAGCTAGCCAACGTACTTGCTGGTGCCTGAGCTGCAGCCTCTGCCAAGCTGTGCTCTGAGAGCTGGTGGCACCAAGGAGGAAGACCATGACAGGTACCATGCCAAAACCAGGGATGACGCATGTTGGCATCCTGAGGGCCAAGCTCACATCATCATTACTGGGTAGGCCCCAAGCAAGAAAACCTCTCAGGTCACAAGACAAACCCAGAAGCCAGTCCTGTGGCTTGGGAACTCATCCTGCCAGGGTGGCTGGAGCTCGGAGTCCGACAGAAGCCCTGCCCTTCCCAGCCTTCCTAGTGGAGACCAAGGCTCCATGGCCATAGCACTGGCTAGAATCCTGGCCTTGCTTCACCTGTGAAGCCTCAGATAAGCAGTACCACCCTCTTTGTGCCTTGATTTCCTCACCCGTGAATGGCATTTACAAGGAATATAACATCCACCACCTGGTTGTGGTGGTGATTCCAATGGTAGTTACTTAGGCAGGGTGTGGTGGGACATGCCCTGTAATCCTAGCACTCAGGAGGCTGAAACAGGAGGAACACTCGAATTGGAGGCCAGCCTGGGCTATAAAGAGTTCAAGGCCAGCCTGAACTACATAAGGAGACCCTGTCTCAAACCAATGTGGGCAAAAAATGACTTAGTGCCTCCTGTGCCAGACACTCCTCTGAGCACTCTCTAGTATGTGGAGCACACTTATCTTCACTGCTTCTGTCAGCAACTCACAAGTGGGACTTGGTGACACCGGAACCCTTGTCCAGTCAGGACAGGTGGAAACAGGAGACAGTGACGTGAAGATGCCCATCCTGGGCCTCAGCTGCAGGGCTCTGCATGAGCCACTGGTTTCCAGCCCCCCCCCCCCCCCCGCTGAAGTGGTGGGGAGTGTGCTTCAGCGTGCCCAGTAAGGTGTAATAAACACTGAAGCCAGGCTATCTGTAACACGATGACTGACTATGGACGTGACTTCCTGCCTCAACTCTGCCCCATTTGGGTCTAACATGCTACATTCAACCCTCAGGAATTCCAGGACCAGCACACACTGGAGTACCTCTTCCTGCAGCGGAATTTCTGCACTGGGGTCAGCGCAGCCACGCCCAGCTTCCTCCTGGCCAGGTGGTAGTGAATGTCATTCCAGAGCTGCACCAGCTCCCGACTGCCTCCCGGCACCTGGCAACCCTGCAAAGAGAGGCTGCTAAGACCTGGCCATCATTTCCCACCCTAAAGTGGCATGGGGACCTGTTTCTTCCACCCGTCTCAGAAGGTACAAGCCCTGATGAAGGGCCGAGCCTGGGAGAGCTCACTGGTGTGTGGAGTGTTAGCATGGCCCAGCAGTGGAGACTCCAGGATGTGACCAGGGTAGGCCAATCACCACAGGGCAGGAAAGCACTACCTGTCAGCTACAGAAAAAAAAAAAAAAAAAAAAAAAAATCAGAAGCTCCTGAACCCACCTTGAACCCTCCAAGCCTCTTGAGAAACATGTGAGCATAGTTCTCAGGTGCACCTTGCAAGACAGAACAAAGCATGGAAAAAGCCTGTTGAAATGCCTTTGGCGGGGCAGGGGAGATGGCTCAGTAGAATAAGTGCTTCCCTGGCGCCTAAGTTCAATCCCCGGCTTTGCAAAAAAAAAAAAGAAAGAAAGAAATGCCTTTGGCCACAGGGTCTGGGGGCCATGGTCAAGGCCACAGGGTTCTGACTTCTAGAAGATCCAACGTATGATCTAATCTTAAGTGAACAGCATGCATCTCCCACTCAGCATGCTTCCCCCAGCCTGACACAGGGAATAAAGGGGTCCCTGTTAGTGCCTAAGACCCTGCCAATGACCCAAAATGTTCAATGTTGCCATCCCTCGGGGTATCTCTCTATACATGCAGTTCTACCTCTGCAGTGTCACTCTGCCCCTAATGCTTACATCTGCAGATTCTCATTGCCAGGAAGGCTCCCAGGAGCAAGCAGCCTTCTCTTATAGCTCCAGCAAGGCCCAGTATGGCTGACTCTTTATCCTCCTACCAGCTCTGGGCCCTGATAGTCATCTCCACTTCCCTGTCCCTTTCACTCACTTATTCTGATACCTGAGAACCAAGCTCACTATGATCTAGAGTGTGTGTGTGTGTGTGTGTGTGTGTGTGTGTGTGAGAGAGAGAGAGAGAGAGAGAGAGAGAGAGAGGGGCAGAGAGATAGACAGGCAGGCAGATAGACAGACATGACCTTGCAGGAGCAGATCCCTCAAGGGCAAAGGGATGACAAGTGACAAGGCCCCTGACTATCCACTGAGGGAAGAACCAAGAGGGGCAGGGGGCATGTAGGTGCACACGAGGGTCAGGTCTTCGCCAAGTACACAGGCACATCCCCTACCTCTCTGCACCCCACCATGACTACACAGTCCTACCTCCAGAAGCCTGCAGGCCACCTGGGGCTGCCCTTGCTGGACCAGGACACGGGCACACACCAGGGTCACATCTGCATTGTCCAGGAAGCATGGACGAAGAGGGCTTTCCAGAACAGCCGTCACCAAAGGCTGCACCTGGGAAAGGTCATCCTGTAGGTCCCGACACAGCCTGCCTGCCAGGGTCACCAGCTCTGAGGTAGGTGAGCAGGAACACCGCTGCTCCCGCAACAACATCAAGAAGCTCTGCATCCTGGTCCTCGGCCTCTGTGGCAACACAGAGCAGTCAGAACCACCCACCTGCACAGCCTTCCCTGTCTATCCCAAACCATTTCCTGCAGGCTGTGACTCCTGACCAGGCACCCCCAAGAAAAGGCACAGAGCAGTCTGAGATCACATACCTACAAGCTTCCTCCTAATCCCTCCATCCTTAGGAATGAGGCCAGCTGTGGTTCCCTGGGCCTGGTGTTGTGCATAACATCCATCTCCCTATCCCCTACTATTTCTCTCACCTCCCTTCTTGACCCTCTCCAGGTTCCTCTTACTCCTGCAGTGACCTCCAAGGAAAGGGGGCCTCCTCATGTCTACCTCCTGAGGCCCCATGACTGCCAGACACATGGCCATTCACCTAGGTACCAAATAGAAACCCTCCCCACATCCAGGACAATGTGCCAACACCAACTGGACAAGTGTCACGGCACAGCTGGGACCCACTGGACCTGCTGAGTACTACACCAGGGAGGAAGGGAGGCTGCGACTGCCCTCCAGGACCCAGGGTCCTCCTGTCTACAGGGCTCATTTGAGTGGCCTGGAACAGGAAGCGGAAGTCTGAGTCCATGCAGAGGAACCCCAACCCTGAGTTAGGACACTGGCTCCTGAGGGGTGCTCTGCCTGACTCTAGCAGGACAGAGAAGCTAGGAGGGGAAGGTGAATCTAGGAGCCTCACTGCATGCTGCCCAGTATCAAAAGCACCGAAAACCCCGATGGGCACCTACTGCACCCTCAAAACACCCCATTCTCCAGATACCCTGCCCCCTAGCTTGATCCCATCCCTGCGGACCCCCCAAGGTCCGAAGGATCTCCCTCACTTCCGGAAGACACCCTCCCACCCTCACAGTGTCTGCAGCCTCCTCCACTCCTCCTTTCTCCCCCATTTTTTCCATCTTGCCCCTCCTGCCTTTCCTGCCCTTCCCCTCCACGCCCTTTCCTCTCCACTCCTCGGTCTCCGGTCTCCTCCCTTTCTCTCCTTTTCTGTTTTCCCTCCTCCTCTTTCCCACCCCCATTCCTCCCCTGGGCCACACCTCTGCGGGCTGGCGTCACAGTCTGGTGGAGGAGGGGCCCAGAACCGAGGGGCCCAAAATCTTGCGACCCCGGGCTGTGGTCGTGCAGATCCCTGCTCTCGGGGATGCCAATCCGTAACGCAGGACTGCCCACGTAGTCACAGGAAGATGTTGCATGAACCTGGATAAGGTCAGGGGCACATGGGGATCCCGGGCGCGGCCGTCTAGCAGCCGGTCGGCGACCGGAAGAGCGGCTCAGTGACGTCACGGCGTGTGCATCGTCTCTCCTGACGTCATGGCGCCATGTGGACCCCTCCCCCTTCCCCTAACGTCATGGCGCACACAATACTCCCTGAGGAAACCGATAGGGTATGGTTCCACGGGTGTATTTAGGATCACTGAGCACTGGCCACCGCAGAGTCTGGACAGGGGCTCCGCAGCAGCTCTGAGGTTGAACAAGGGCACCGGGTTGTGGACCCACAGCTGCACACGCGATGGACATACTTTAGTTGGTGTTTGCATCACGTATTTCATTTCTTTCCTTCTTTTCTTTCTTTCTTCTTTATAAGGTGTGTAAAACAACCATTTTTTAGTTTTCTGTTGTTGAGTTTTTTTGTAGGGCTAGAAAAAAAATGCAAGATGTTAGAGTTGAGGAAAGATTTGCTGCTGTGTAGTGACCCCGACATAGTGGAGGAGATGGAGATTGGAAGCAGCAGCGGCAGACTCCTCACTCCCCACAAAGCCTTCCTCATCAGGGATTCCCCTGAGGGGTCCCTACCCATGAAGCCTTCTCTGTGCTTCTCCACAGGAGACCTATGGACAGAGGAAGGAAGAAATAAGAACTAAGAAAACTCGTGTCCATGTGTAACATGCCTGACATACAGGCAAAGGACAGAAGGAAAGTAAGAGCTTGAGAAAGTAACTCCCCTGTCTTTCCTCTCTTGGAAGGACAGATGTGAATAGGAGCAGAGAACAATTAGGATCCTCAATATAAACTGCCCTCCAGAGCTGACCCAGAGGGAACTAGGACAATCCACCTCAGCTGCAACAGCCATGCTCAGGATACAAGCCAGCCTTATCACCATTTCTGTGGGTTCTGTGATCCCTGTCAGAATCGGAAGTGCTATGGTACAGAAAGAAGGCTTTATTATATATGACATAAGGGAGAAGCCCATGGAGAACAAAAACTCCTGGCTGACCCAGAGGAAAAGGTTGTACAACTTTATGCCATCTGAAGTAGCAGGGACCTGGATTCTTGTCATAAGACTCAGAGATGGAGTTTTAGCTGCTCTGATCTTCGTCATACCTCTTCATGCCCTGTATGTCTCATTACCATCTTAAATCTCCACCTCAGGGTCTGATTTTTTTACTGTTAGTAAAGGTAACTATAGGTTATTTTGGTAACTACACTATGCATGTGTCTAAGTTTCTTTTCTCTTGTTGCTGGCACAAAATACCCAATACCAAAAATTAAGGAAGGAAAGGTTTAGTTAGCTCACAGTTTGTGGAGGTTTCAGCCCATACTCAGCTGGCTCCAAGGTAGAATGGAACATGGCAGAGGACAGCTATTCGTGGCAGCAAAGAGCAAAGGGAGGAGCAGCCGCTGTGGCAGTTAGCAAGCCTCTCTCCTCTCCTTATATTGTATTCAGGCTATCTGTCCCAGGGCGGGTATAGCACTCACATTTGTAATCACCACATTGGATCATGAATTAATCTCAAACTATAGACACCTGCCCCAAAGACTGCATGAGGCTTTGGGGGAACAACTACACACAAACCATAGCAGCATGCATCTCTGCCTTGCTACCTAGAATTTGCCCCTTATCATCTGGGAAAGTTCCCATTTGGGTTTTGGAATACATTACTCCCTTACCTTAGTGGGTTTGATCTTGCTTTTCTTAGCCCTGGCTTTTTGATATCTCAGCTGATCACACAGTCTTTGAAGGGTGAGGTGACTTCCCATTCTCCTGTCTCTGGATGTGTTCCCTTAATCCCCATCTCAAAAACTGGTCCACTTTTGAACTCTTAGTTTCCCCATAACCCATAAGACTGAGGACCAGTATGGCTTATTCAGCAAGTTCACAAGATCAGGTGTGTCCAGCTCTGCTTGTCCAGCTGAGGTTTCCCCTGAGCCTTGAGTGCCTGCCTCTGGGTTGTGATCCCAAACTCCTCCACGAAGGAGCCTTCTCTATCACCTGGATTCCAGCCTCAACCACTAGGGCAGAGCAACCCTCCCTGGAGTCTGGATCTATAAGGTCTGAGCCATGTGTCCCAGAATATTTTTTCTCCTAAACTTGGTATTGAAGTAAATACTATTTGACACATTTTCTCTTTGTACTAAGGACAACCTAATTGCTTTCCTAGTATTTTACCAGTTACAGTCCCTGCTCTTTTATTTTTGGTAAGTTTTAATCTTGTGACAGGGTCTCACTAAGTTGCTCAAGCTGATTTCCAACTTATGGTCCAGCTGCTTCGGCCTTCCACAGTGCTAGAATTACAGGTATGTGCCACCACACCTGGCCCAATGTAGTGTTTTTAGAAACTGAATATATGTCAAAGAATCCATAAATCAACAAAATACCAAAATTTTAAATAAAGACAGGATTGCTGTTACAGATTGGTCTTTTCTACTGAAGGTCCTTCACCAGCTCAAATCTCTTCTCTTCTGGCTGTCAGTGAGGTACCAGGTAGGAGACAGAGACTCATAACACAAACATCATTTACTGGGTGTGAGTGCCAGAGGCATGTTCAGATCACTTGACATTCATCATGATACTGTGATGTGATGGTTCTTCTCCTGATACCATCCTCCCCTACTGACCACACCCACTGGGGAGGTTCAGGCAACAGACATACAGGACTGTACAGGGTGATATGACACTCAGCTGGCTTCAAGAGGTGTGTGTGTGAGAGAGAGAGAGAGAGAGAGAGAGAGAGAGAGAGAGAGAGAGAGAGTGTGCGCGCGCGCGCGCGCTTTCCAACATGCATGCTCTTTCTAACATGTCACACTGCTGGAACATAGGCCTCTGCCATGCAATGTGCCTCTTGGAACAGAAGACTTGGGTGATCTCCTGGTCTCTCATGGTACCCAGCAGCACACTGAAACGTGATAATGGAGGCAAGTATTAATGTGGCCCATACTCTGTCATCAGTGTACACTTTCTTAAGCTTCTTAATGCATGTGGCCAGCTGATTTTGAGGAATCACCTTCTTAAGACAGAGTTGGGGGCCAGGGAGATAGCTCAGTAGAATAAGCACTTGCGTGGCAAAGTGCAAGGTCCTGAGTTCAGTCGCTGGTAATGACAAAAAAAAAAAAAAAAAAAAAAAAGACAGAGTTGTTGGTTACCTACAGTGTAGGGATAGGAAATTTATGTGGCATATGTATTTTTGTTTAAAAAGATGACTGGGTTATCAATAACATACTTGAGTTAGCTGATTTATTACATGTAAAAGGTTGATTAGAAATGTAAGTCCAAGAAAAATCAGAGTACACTGTGAAAACTGAGTGTAATTTGTGCACCTAATTACAGTAAAAAAATTTCCTAATGGTAAATCTTCCAAATAAAATATGTTCCAGTTAGAATAAGATTCACTATATCTAATAGAACCAAACCTCCTTGTACTTTAGAAACAAAAGGTGGTTTAAACACAGGCGGTGTTTTTTTTTTTTTTTTTTGTGTGTGTGTGTGTGTGTGTGTAAAAGATTGAAATGCAGGAGGTCTGGGGCAGAGTTAGTGCAACAGTCCCTTAGTAATGAGAAAGCTAGTTCGCTCTTAGGTGCTGCACATTCAAACAGGCACTTCCATGCTCAAGATGCATTTCAATTACAAAATGGCTCCCAAATCTCCAACAATCTTATATATTAAGACAAAAGGAAAGGTTAAAAGATAGAGGGATCTTTCCCCAGCTGTTGCTGTCCCCCAGGAAATTTCCCATTCCACCTCAACATCCTTTTATTTTTGGAAGTACTGG